GTGAGTGTATATGTGTGTGTGCATTGAATACAGTAGAAATCCTGTCTTGTTATTGTATATAGCAAAAATCTAGTAATTGATTGGAATTTCTTTCTTCTTCCCCTTAATTGTCCTGGTTTCACCACTTTTCTTCATGATTTTTACTGCATTTATCAATTGTCATTGTCCAAAAATGATCCTACGAGGAAGGAGGAACCCTCTTGCCAACACACAGTAACCGCTGAGGGGAGGTGACCTCCTGCCCTGCATTCACCTCTGTCCTACCTGATAAATTGTGTAACCCACATCAAAACCTCTTAGTGTAAATATGCCTGTATGGAGCAATGATTTGGGTTGGGTCAGGTGTCCACTTCTGAGGCAGATCTCCCAGTCATCCCTGCTTAGCAAGCTCTGCTTCACGCTGTTGACCAGGCTTGGGGCGCATGAGTTGCAGTTTGGGAGGATTCATTGCAGAAGCACACTCAAGGCACTGCAGTCACAAATGGGCACGCAGCCCCTGTGATCAGGATGGAGCTAGTCAAAAGTTAACCCGGGGCACACATGGATGTCATGGCCTGAGCGCTAATGGTTTTGCCTGCAGACACATGCCTGTCAGTCCCCACTGCTAGCTACTGTACATGTAGCCTTAGTGGCCTAGATGGAAAGTTAGTCAGGAGGGTAATTTTTGATAAGCTAACAAGTGCTAGTACAGAACAGGGGTAGAAATGGTGTAACACACCATGTCACCCGGATTGAAGCGATTTTTTTAATGTGAAATTGCAGACATCCTAGGGCCATGTACTAGGTGATATTTACTGGAGGGACCAATTTGTGGAGTTCAGGAAGGGGCACTCTGCCATTTGCAGGTAGAAACGGTAAAACTTGTTGAAATAACTTTATATACTCTGAAATAGCATGTTGATAGGGAAGCTGAAAAAAAAAAAGACACTTCCCATTAAATAGAAGAAAATACATTGGATGATGTGGAATACATGTGTATACATGCACATACACATATTTATAAAGAGTTTGACTCTTCTTGAGTTTTGACTTCCAAGGAGTATATACATACGTATGTAAAATATAGATTTATATACACATACTCATATATTTTTTTTATGACTATTCATATATTTTCCTTTTTGGAGTATACCCAGGCACTCCCAGAACCATTTCTTTTTGTGAAGGAATCAGGCAGCACTGTGTAATTACGTCTGATGTAGCCTTGAGTATTTTTTCCTATTGTTGTAAATACAACATATACAAGCTTTTTTGGGATGCCTACTCTCATTTATTACATCAAAGAAATTGAATCATATGCCTTAGCATAAAAAATTAATAGCTTGCATAAATGTATTTGATAATGTCCTTGAGCTTCCTGGTGAGCTGAAGACAAATACAAAGAAGCAAGGACAGCATGTACATTTTTTAAAAAAAGTATTTATTTTTTAAATGCCATGGCTTCAGTGACCATGTGTACTTAGCTGAAATTGCAGCACTGGATCCTATCAAGGCAATAAATAAATAAACAGATGGTTGTGTGTGCAGTTGAACTAATGAAGCCAGGTTTCCTATCAGGTTATATCTTATAGTTCAGTTCCTTCACATCTAATAAAATGTAAGCTCTGCTTTAGCTTTTCCCATCCTTGCAAAATGCTTTTCTCCTGTGTGGACTCAGCTGTGCAACAAGACGGTGAGCAATCTTTCCCATAGTAGTGGCACTAGTTCAGGGCTTTCTCCTTTAGGAGATCAACTAATTCAAAGAAACTTGTCAGGAGTTAATTTCTCTGTTGAATTGGACTGAGATTGGCCAAAGATTCACAAATACTGGAGAGGGTGCAGAAGTACAGTTACACTCTCACACACACAGACGTAAAGATAGCGGCAGTTACAATAACTGATCTCCTCTGGGAACTATGCTAAGCAGTATATCTTTATTTGAAGAAAACAGAAAAGATCAGTGTCCTACTACCCATCTCCTTTTATCTCGGGTTTATTAATTTTTCATTAAGGTCACTGGACAATTGTTCAGGGCAAGAGCAACAGAGAATACTGACAAGTCTGTCAGTGAATGCTTCCCTTCCCTGTGAGGTAAGATATCATTTTTAATCTTTATATCAATAGATTTAGGAGAATTCAATACAATTTGACAGAACAGTAGGATTTCTGGCAGGCTGGTTGAAAGTCAGGTCAAAGGTACTTAAGCTTTCATAATATTTGGTGATTCATTAACAAGGTTTGATTTTACGCTTACAAGAACTGCTGAAGTAGTAACTAACACATTAAAAGTTTCTGTATTTGTTACAAGCAGTAGTTTAATCTCTAGTTGGTATGGCATTTCAGAAAGAACAGCATACCACAAAAGAAAATTTATAAAAGAATTACAGCTGAAGAGCTTTATGTAAATTGTAAAATGCAAATGCATTCCATGGAGAAACGAAAGCACTGGTAAATTAAGCTACATCTTGGCTGGAAACAGCATGCATGTTACTTGCAATGTCATGGTTCTCTCATCCATTGAACACGATTGCTCAATAATAAGCTAACTTTTCTAATACAACACAAAAATACTGTCCAAGTCCAAACTTTCACAAAAGACAAGTTAAACTACATGGCCTGGTTTTACACAAAGAGTGCTATAAGGCTGGTTCCCTATGCAGGTGTGTCAGTGTTGCAGTTTGGGTGTGCTGAGCTCATCCCTGAACATCTGCCTGGGGCCAGGGATAGAGTGAGGCAGGATGTTGACAGGCTCTTACCACTCCAGAGCTGCTGACCTTCATGTAACTTGTTGGAACTTCAGTATCTTGATATCTTTCTTCTTTCAAAATTGGCTGAAATTAAGCTACAGGTTCAGGACCTACTGGGTGGAAAAAGTGTCATGGTATTGCCTGACAGAAGGACAGCACATGGACAACCTGGGGAAACAAGCTTTGTCTTCTTAGGAAGTAAGGCTAAAAATACACCAGACTAACCATTTTATAACAGATGGTGGTCTGGAGTTGCATGGGTTTTAGGACTTCAGGTACAAAATTTCTTTTGAACTAGGAAAAAATCCACATGCCAAAGAACAGCACTTTTCTAAAAATAGTTCCTTTCAGTTTTTTAGCACATATGTCAGATTTAGACCAATTTAATTGTGTGGGTAAATCCGTGTTCAGTTCCCCAGCTTGGAAAGCCATTGTGTTCTGGCAGGTTTCTACATGCATATGCAATAACTTCTGTGCTTTCACACTGCTCTCCCTGGGTAAAATGGCCGCTGATGTAGAGCAAATAAGGAGTTTGGGACCAGGCAGGTGACCTGATTTTCACAGTTGCTACGCATCCAGGAAGCTGTAGGTGGTGGTTCTACTGGGCTATTATTTTTGAAAACAAGCCCACTTGTCTAAGGCCTGCAGCCTGAGACAGCCACCTTGGAAAATATTTGAAAAAGCTCACTTAGGTTTTTGCATCCATAGTCATTTTGTTTCAGCTTTGTGCTTTGTTTGCCCTCCGATTAATTATCTTTTTTAAATCCTTTCATGTTTTAATTGGCTTACAAGAAGATTTTCAGCAGATGGTATTGAAAAGAGAAAATAAAAATAAAGGTTCTCCAACAAATTTTTACCTGCCCTGAACATTTGAAATACCATCAATATGGTGATTCATGTAGTCCTGCCTGTTCCATTTTAAACCACTGATGGATTGCGTAACTTAAAATAATTATTTATTGTGAAATGTGTTCTTTAAAATAATTTTATTTCAGTAAAGTTTCCATAAAATTGAAGAGATTTTAACCCTCAGTTTAAAAATCTCAAATTACAAACATTTGAACAGATTATATATTTTTGTAACTAGGAAAACTGTAGAATACTGAAACAGTCTTAACAAATTCTACAAATTCTACCGTTCTCTCAGGTTGCAGTTTGGCTCTAGTTTGAGCCTAGTTTCATCTTCAGGTTCTAAATGGAGAATAGTTAGCAGCTGTAATTATTTTAAAGGAAGTCTTTGAAGATAAATAGACATTAGACTGATGTATGTTTACTAATTTGTAGTAAGACTGAAAATTCTTGAGTTCTTGTTACTCATTTAAGGTACTTTTTTTTTTTTTTTTTTTTTTTAACAGCACTTTGTTCACTTTTAAAGGGTAATTAGTATGTCTTTTAAGAACTACATTGTGTTCCTTTGTTTCTGAGTAATATAGCAGAGGAAAATTCCAGCTGTTGAAGAGCAGTTTCTTTCATTGCACAGGTACAGTGGTTTCCTTAATGGTTTCCTTGAGCCCTCACACAGAAGAACATGAGTTTTATACTTTTAATTTCTGTCAGGATGTTGTGCATAGGCACCCTCCAGAAGCCTTCAGCAAGACGAGTGGGCACATCAGGTTGTCTGTGATGATCCTTCTTCCATTCAGGGCCAGAAACAGGAGGCAGATCCAGAAAGCAATACTGTCATAAAGGAGAAAGAAGGGGCTTGTGAGCATCACCGATAAAAGGGATGTCTCAGATGGGATGCAGGAGCAATACCTTCTGCTCCTTGTTAAACCCAAGCTCTTCCACGACTTTGGGCCATCTATACTGGACTTCGGTGAAATCAGCTTTGGGCCCTTAGATGGCTAAAATTGCAATGAAGGTTTTACTGCCAGGACCGCTCCTCTTCCTGGTAATTGGGAGGGGGCTCGCTGTGATTTTGCAGTTTAGGTCTCCACTAATGCAGTGAAATACAGTTTCTCTAGGGCCTAGAGGGAGCAAAGGTGAAGTGAGTGGAACCAAGTAGCCACAGACTGAAGGGAGTCACACACAGGTAAATTTGCACTTGAACAGCATATCCGAGCCCTGTCTGAGGCAGGTGCAGCGGGCATCCCCCCAGCCGCGGCCCACCCGGGCTCACAGCTGGAGGCCCCGGCCCCAGCCCCGGTCCCGGCCAGGCCGGAGGTCCGACCGCTCTAGGGTTGCTGGAGCCATCGGGCGGGCCCGGCT